TTCAGGCATTTTAGATTCCTCTGTTGAGAGTTTAGGTCTGTACTCTATTTTTTTTTTATTGGATTATGTGTTCTTTTGGTGACCAATTTCCTGAGTTCTTTGTATATTTTGGAAATCAGACCTCTGTCTGATGTAGGGTTAGTGAAGATCTTTTCCCATTCTGTAGGCTGTCGTTTTGTCTTGTTGACCGTGTCCTTTGCTTTACAGAAGCTTTTCAGTTTTAGGAGGTCCCATTTATTAATTGTTTCAGTGTCTGTACTGCTGTGGTTATATTTAGGAAGTAGTCTCCAGTGCCAGTGTGTTCAAGTGTATTTCCCACTTTCTCTTCTATAAAGTTCAGTGTGGCTGGCTTTTTGTTGAGGTCTTTGATTCATTTGGACTTGAGTGTTGTGCATGGTGATAGATAGGGGTCTATTTTCATTCTTCTAAAAGTTGATATCCAGTTATACCAGCACCACTTGTTAAATATGCTTTCTTTTTTCCATTTGATATTTTTTGCTTCTTTGTCAAAAATCAGGTGTTCAAAGATGTGTGGATTGATATCTGGGTCTTCTATTCAGTTCCATTGTTCCTCCTTTCTGTTCTTATGCCAATACCAGGCTGTTTTCAGTACTGTAGCTCCATAGTAGAGTTCGAAGTCAGGGATTGTGATGCCTCCAGAAGTTCATTTATTGTACAGGATTGTTTTGGCTATCCTGGGTTTTTTTGAAAAGCCCACTTTTTAACCAAGTTTATTGTTAATACATAAATGTTAACGTATCTTTTATAGAATTATTTACTTAAAGTATTCTTAGAGTTACATGTAAGTATACAATGTGGAAGAGGACTCTGTGACATCCGTCTGTCCTTCCAACTTATTTTACGTGGCTCCCAGGGTTCAAACTGAGATTGCGAGGCTTGAAATGCAAGTACTTTTACTTGCTAAACCATTTAGCTAGCCTTAGAAAAATTAACAACAACAACAACCCCTACAGTTATTTATGTATGGACTGTGAATGGGGTGGGGTGGGGTGATGTCCTGGCACATGTGTGGAATCCAAAGAACAATTTGAGGAAGCTGGTTCTCTCTTTCTGCCATATGGGTCCCCAGGATCAAACTCAGGCTATCAGACTTGGTAACAAGCTCCTTTACTCCCTGAGCCATGGAGTTGGCCCTAGAATTATTAACTTTTATAAATGCCTATTTCAGACATTTTTGGTTACTGTCAAGAATCATCTTAGACAGGTAATGGAACTTAGCAACACACACCTGTAAACTATGGAGCACATGTCAGAACACACATGAATACTACTTTGGTGAGAATGCAGGCATTATGTGAAAGGTTATTTGGCTATTTTAATTTATCACTAAGTTTTCTATGGCAAAAATAATTATAGGGCTGGTGAGATGGCTCACTGTGTAACCCAATAAATAGCCAAGTAAAGTGGAATGTACTTATATCCTAGCATTTCTATGGTGAAATGGGAGGCAGACAGTAGAAATAACCCAAAGCTGGGCCAGCTAGCCCGGAGTACATACAGCTCAGCAGAAACAAGAGATCCTACCTTAACAAGGTAGAAGGTTAAAACAGAATCCTGAAGGGAGTCCTTCTGACTTCCGCTCGTGTACCATGGCATACACACATTTGTTCGTGCCCTCCTCCCCTGCCCCCTACCTCACACACATACACATGCACACATATGCACACACACATATACACAAATGCGAACACAAATAAAAATGAAATCATAAAAAACTGGCATGAGGGTTTACTATATAATGAGTATTTTTAAAAAATCATATTCATATACAAAGGTAAACTGCAAATGAAAATCATCTGCTGATACAAAACTACTTTTCTCCTGATTATAGCTATTTCTCTTTCCTTTCTAACATTTTAAAGGCATAAATATTAGTGGGTGATTTTAACTCATTTGTGTAATGTCAAGTGAAGTTTGTGCTATTATCTTCTGTCTTAGTTACTGTTCTACTGCTGTGAAGAGATGTCATGATCAAGGCAGCTTATTTAAAAAACAAACATTTAATTGGGGCTTGCTTAAGGTTCAGAGGGTCAGTCCGTGGCTATCTTGTCTTTTGGAAGCAGCAACTGAGAGCTTTAAATCCTGATTCTCAGGGCACCAAGGCAGAGAGGGAAATTCTGAGCCTTAAGAAGCCTCAAAGCCCACTCCCACTGACACACCTCCTCCTCCAAGGCCACACAGCCTAATTCCTCCTAAAGAGCTCACCAGACTAGGGATTAAGCATACAAACAGGAGCCTGTTTCCTCCACGTCTCCTTTAGAGCTTACACTGCCATTGCTCCCCTGCTTGCTGTGGTGAACTTCAGCAAGTCAAGGAAAAGAGGTAAGAAAATGTCTTTCAAAATCAAGATTATGAACTATATTCAGAAAAGAATGACACAAGACAACACAGGACTACCTTCAGGGTGGATGGCTAATGTAGTCCTTTGAACTAGGTGCAGTATATGACAGATGTTCCAATAAACTAAGGGGTGTTAGAAAAGGCAAGAGTACCTTGTTCTAAGCAACTGGAAAATATACCTTTCAGACCTTTGTAGTATATATGTCACATTTTTCAATCCCTAATCTTTAAAAAGATTAAAAAATAAAACAGAACAAAACTCCTAAAACCTATGATAGAATGTAAGTAACATAAAATTGCCCACTGACCATTGTAAACTTTCCCCTTTTTTAGAACAGGGTCTCACTTATATATAGAACTTGCTATATAGACCAGACTGGCCTTGAACTCAACTGAGATCCTGCCTATGTCTCCCAGTACTGCGACTGAAGAAAGGCATGTGCCACCAAGCCTGGCTTTCCTTTTCTCTTTTCAGACAAGGTCTCATGTATCCCAGTCCCCCACCTCAAAAAATAAAATAATTTTTCAGTCACTTAGAAAACAACTGATTAAATTTTGACACTCCCCACCCCCCGCCGTGTGTGTGTGTGTGTGTGTGTGTGTGTGTGTGTGTGTGAGAGAGAGAGAGAGAGAGAGAGAGAGAGAGAGAGAGAGAGAGAGAGGACAGCTTTGGGAAGCTGGTTCTCTTCCTCTCCGTGTTAGTCCTGAGGACAGAACTCAGATGGCAGGCTTGTGACAGGCACCTTTACTTGCTAAGCCATCTCATCCACTTAAAAACTGACTGGAAGAAATTATTTGGGGGGAAAATGGCTACCCACTTGTTGTAATTTGGTTTCTGCTGCTATGATAAACAATATGACCAAAACCAACTTTAGGACGAAGGGGTTTTACTTCATCATACCACTATAATCCATCACTTGGGGGAGCAGGGCCTCAAGCAGGCGGCTGGGGGCACAGATTTTGGAGGGGCCCTGCTTCCTACCTTGCTTTCCCTGGTTTGCTACTCGGTGTGCTTTCTTATCAAGTTCTGACCCGCCTGCTCAGAGATGCCAGTGCTCAGAGTGGGCTGGACCCTTCCGCATCAACCAGCCACCGAGAAAATGCCAGGCAGACATGTCCACGGGCCATTTTGAGGGAGGCGGTACCTCAAGTGAGAATTTCTCTTCTTAGGTATGTCTAGGTTTTGATCATGTTGGAAAAAACTAAGATGCCACTCATGAGAGAAATTATCTACAGCATACAAAAATAATTTCAGATGTTTAAAATGAGTAAATTCTTAAAAAGAGATAACATAGGAAACAATTCCAATAATTTGTGAGAAGACGATACCCTCGGATTTTTACAAAATCAGGCACTTAAAAGTCAAGTGACTAACAGTTCTCGAAAATATCTGGCATAGATCATGAAGGGTTACTACATCTGTATCTTCCTGAGTGCTAGGACTAAAAGCCACCGTGTTTGGCAACAACTGTATCTTTTTTTATTTTTTTAAAGACAAAAAAAAAAAAAAAAGAAAAAAAAACTTTGGGGAAAAATGAACGAAATAAACAACGGTTCATCTTGAGGAATGTCAATTGTGACAACAATCACCTACATACTTTACCAAGTGTACTTTTGTTCTAAAGTCTAAAACAGCAGGTCACAGAACAGTATGCATGATCTCGTCTTCATGGGGGGATAAAATAACATGATTATGCATCTTTAAGAGCTATAGAAAGCTTTGTCTTACATGACTGGAAATGATTTCGTGTGGTTTCACATTCCACTGTATTACGTGGGGGTTCACGGTCCCTCTCAAAGGTGACAAAATTCTTTTTTCACAAGAAAGTGGTGCTTGTTTTTCTGCTCCAAGCTGTAACCTGCGGGGCATTAATTTTCCTTCGACTCCGCACCACTTCACTTCCTACACTCTATACTATCATTTCTTCTTTTACGAGCAAGTCTCAAAAGCATCTGTGAGAGAAAAGAGACCCTGGGGGGTTGCTCAGTGCAGCCTGCCTAACAGTGAGAGAGCCTCAGTCCTCTGGGTACAGCATCTTCCCCCTTGTTCGGATTTCTTGACAGTCACCACTTTTTTGGTGGTAGCCAGTCCCTTTACACCGCGGTGAGGACAGTCTGGACGACTGGTGTACACGGGTGGCTACCTCTGCTCTTTGTACCTCGAGCCAGCCATTCTCTCCGGGACCCGTGGGGGAAGTTACTCAACTTCTCATTGACAAGACTCTGGTGACACGCCACAGGAAAGCCGAGGAGGGAATTGTGCAACTCCCGGGATAAACAGAAAAAAACCTACTGAGCGTTCGAGAGCACAGCAGTCAGGGCGGCCGCTTCTGCAAGTCAGCCTCTCTCCGGCAGAGAAATCGAGGACTCCGGGGTCCCCCGCACCCCAACCCCGCGGGCCGGGTCGCGCTCATTTCCCATCCCTGGAAGCCGCGCAAGGTGACTGTCGTCAATGAAGCCGAGGTCGCGGGCTGGAAAAGCCCCACAAGGTCAGCTCGAGGGCAGGGACCGGCGCTTTCCCTCGCTCCGGACCCCACCGCAAACTCGCTGCAGCGCGCCCCTCCCGCTCACACACCCCAGTCCTGCGTCCTCCGGCTCGGCCGCCGACCCAGACACCCCAACTCGCAGTTTTTACTCACAGTTGAAGATTTCCGCCGCGATCTCCTCCCGCCACAGGTCGCCGGTGCCCGGCAGAATGACTACAGCCGGAAGTTGCTTTCCGTTCCAGTTCAGAGGGCAGCGTCTGCGCGCCGAGCCCTTGAACGCTTCACCTTCCAGCCGCAGGGCCAGGCCCCGCCCCACGTCCTTCCTCTTGCAAAAGCCCCGCCCACGAAGCCCCGCCCCCGCCAAGCTCCACCCCAGCCAGGGGCCACGTAGGAAATACTTCTGATAGCAAGTGAACCCTGTATTATAATTAAAGGTCATTTCAGTGTCTTAGCTAGAATTTTGAGCAAACCATAAATAACTACTACTATCACCCTATATATAGGTTAGAGAACCACCAGAAAAACTTGAGATATTGTGAAATTCCTGTTTAGAGGAGGTAGGGAAAGGCCCAGGAATCTGCATTTTCCCCAGGAGCCTTACGTGAATGTAATTAAGTGAATCAGATATTTACTTAATTATGTGTATTGAGAAATACTATGCATACACGTCAATAGGTGTTTCCCCCCATTAGTAATACTTTCCAAAGAACATGCCTGCGAAACAAAATTCGATTGTTGGTAAATGGGAATAGAAATTTATTTTAAAATTTCCCATGGATTCAAAGTTTCTCATTAGTCTATTTCCAGACATGCTTGAATGGTCTCAGAGAGACATGTTAGGTGAACACAGAAAAACATCTTTTCTCTGTTAGAACAAGAGGATTGGGTTCTGGCTGCCCCAGTTTTTCTCTTCCTCTGGCACTTATATGTGTTTTATGTAGGTCAGTAAGTCCAAGGATTCAAACACTTGTCGAGTTCCAGCGGTAAACTTGAATATTTGGGGCAACTTTTAAAGGTCAAAGCATACTTTAGAAGAATTTTAAAACTCACATCAGCTGTGGTAGCTTGTGCAGAACCTGCCCAACTTTCTAGCACGGAAGCAGCAGGCTCACAGACCTGTATCCCTAACGGCGGAGCTCTGGGAAGTGGATTGCGGGGAAGAGGGGACAGCTTTCTTTAAGGTGTGACCCTATTCTCCATTGGATGACCCTTTATGCATGAATATACACAGACAACACAAACTGGACTTGATGGTCACTTGAAAACAAAAAAGGACATGAAGATCAAGTGGGTTTTTTTTTTTTTTTGAAATAGGTAATCATGTTAAATGTGATACATCACTGCTTACATTAAATGCTTTGCTTTTTCTAGAGCAGGCTTAGGTGCAAAACAAAATCGAGAGGAAGGTCTAGAAATTTCAAATGTGCCCCTCATCTCCACATATATAAATTTGTTCAAGGTCGGTATTGTCAGCCTGGAGGCTGAAAAAGCTGCTATAAACAATAATGTGCTAGTTCTATTAGGAGAAATATATTATCAACTCCATAAGGCAAATGCAAGGCATCTGAGGAACGGTAAGTGTATATGTATTTTGTTAGGTAACCGCCAAACTATTTGTACTCCCCCAAAGACAAAGGAAAGTTTCTGTCCCCGACAGCCCTTGCCAGCTTTTGGTGTTCTCAGTGTTCTAGATTTTGGGCATTCTAATAGGCAACAGTGTCTGATTGTTTTAATTGATGGCTTCTGGGAGAGGAAGAGTGGCTGGGCCCTATGACACACGGACTTTCCTCACTTGTCATCTTACCCTGTCACTCTGGGTGGCCAGGAAAACTCTATGTAACCAGGCTGGCTTTGAACTCACAGATGTCTGCTTGCTTCTGTTTCATGGGTACTGGGATTAAAGGCACCAGCTACTGTGGCCACCTGATAATGTCTTTTAAAGAGCAAAAATTTCAAATTTTCATCAAGTCTAGTTCATTCAGCATTGATTTTGAGTATATTTGAAGCTGCTTTGAAATTTTTGTTGAAATTATAGAGTTAATGCATTCAGAACACAGGGCTGAATGTATAGGCCATTTAAAACATGAATGTGCTACAAACTTCGAATAATGAAAACTACGTATTTCTTAAACATGTAATTTTCTTTTCATTCCCAGCATGATAATCATGAAGAGAAGTGACTGCACATGTGAAATGAACATGGACACGCCTACAATAATTTAAAACAGATGAGTTTTAAAATCAAAACAATGACATATTTTCCTATAATGATTATGATTTCCATCAGAATTGACATATAGTATATTTATTGAAGATTAAAAATATAGTGTTGTGGACATCCATAGGTAGAAAAATGAAACTAGAACCATATCTCTCACCTGTACAAAAAATTAACTCCAAAAGAACCAAAGACTTTAACAGAAGACCTGAAACTCAAAAACCGTTAGAGAAAAATGTAAGGGAGATCCTTTTAGATCTAGACAAAGGTTAGAACTTTCAACATTACCCAAGTTGCTTGAGGAAATAAGGCTAATAATTGACAAATGGGACCTCATGTTGAATAGTGATGAAATAGCCTACAGAATAAGAGTCTTTGTTAGCTATACATTTGACTGTGGGTTAATATCTATAATATATAAAGAACCCAGTAAATTAAGCAGGGAAACAACCCAGTCAATGAAATGGACAATGCTCAAAAGATGAAATACAAATGGCCAACAAACATATAAAAATGTTAAATATCACCAACTGCCAGAGAAATAAAAATTATAACCATATTGGCATTCCTTCTTACCCTAGTCAGCATGGCAACTCTTAGGAAAACAAACAAAAGCAAAATGCTTGCTGGCAAGAAATGGACAAAAGGGAACCATTAGACACTGTTGGTAGAAATGCAAATTAGTCCAGTCACTACAGAAGTCAACATGGAGGTTTCTCAGGAAACCAAAATCAGATATGACCCGGCTACAACATTCCTAGGTAGTCCCTTGAAGGACTCCAAGTTGATATATCACAGAGATATTTGCATGCCAATATTTATAGTAGCACTATTATTCATAATATCTATTATGGAATTAGAGAAGGTATCCAACAACAGAAATGTATACAGAAAATAGATTTTGTAGTTTTAGCTTTCATTGGTAGTTCCTAATTTTAAAATAGATACATGAAATCATATATATATATATATATATATATATATATATATATATGCACACACACACACTCACACTCACACACATGACACAGAAGTGGAAATGAAACTGTCTAGGGGAACAAAAGGGATAATTGGAAGAGAGAGGGGCAAGAAAGAGGGTAGGAGGGTGTGGGGGCAAATAATACTCAATGTACAATATATGCTTTATGAAAACCTTAAAAACTATATTGAACTAACACCAATAGAAGTATTTTTGTGTGAATATTTTTGCATGAATTGTTGAAGTATATAAAACCAATAATGAGTGGAAATGAGTAGACAGAGCTGGAAATTTGAGTCTCTGTTGGAGCTTGCTATTTATATATGATTTCTATTTTAAAAGACCAATATTAAGTTTTATTTAGCCAGGCATTCTTTTCATAGTGAAAAGCAGACAGTCTGGGTAAGGGGTCTCACTTCAGTCCAACACCCATAGTACCAACGCTGATGAATATCAGTTTCAAGCCCAAGAGTTAACTGTGAACTGTCCATGTCTATCTGGTCTCCCAATTTAGGATCTGTGCTGAAGAACTAGTAACAGTTGGACAGAAAGTGAGAACCACAGAGAATCCATGCATCCAACTAGAAAGGGCTAGACCAGGTTTCAAATGAGTAAATACAAGCCAGCATTCAGGAGGCAGAGGCAGGCAAATCTCTGTGAATTCAAGGCCAGCTTGGTCTACATAGTGGATTCTAGGATAGCCAGAGCTAA